AATTGTAAATATATTTCCAAATTACAATTTTGAGGATTCACCTGAATGCGGCCACGATAACAAAATTTGGAGACAGCCTGACGCTCAGCTAGGGAACCAAGCTCTTTATGGCGGTCATGCTCAATATGGAGGAGCAAATCATGAAATGCTTGGCGACCTCGAATTCTAGGTGAGCTCACCACTAGAGACCATCCTCCTTTATGCTCAAAGCTAGGTTCTGAACTGATGGAAGTCCGTCTTGGCGTATCACAACTGCCACCATTCCCAGGATCATGATGATCATGGACATCACATGTTAGTCGTTTGATAATATCTGCAATCCTAACCTTTTCCTTGTCCGAACCAACGTCAGAATGACGATGGTTTACGGATGAAGTCGTGGTCTGAGCAGTTGAGTCCCAATCGGTGAGCCAATCGTTGTTAGAAATAGAGTCACAAACATCAGAATGCCTGGAAGGCTCTTCCATAAGATTGAAATTGTCTAAACTAGAAACAGAACTTGTTCTGCTGTGTTGCGACATTTGAGGATTAGGTTTTGGTTGATTTAGTCGTGCCTCCCATATTTGTACCAGGGAAGAAGCCCCAATCTGGCTCTTGGAGGAACACTCGCTCTCGACTATTGAATTTTGGGAAGATATTACACAATTGCCGACCTCTTTTGAATTTGAAGAAGAGCATGGATTGCTTGATGCCACAACCCAAAGCTCTGACTCCTTATTCTGCCTCTCTATCGTCGATACCATATGCTCTGCTTGCTTTGCCGCCCAGCGGTCCAAGTTTCTTACTTGTCGGCTACTCATGCGGGTAGAAGAACATGAAGAAGAAAAATTATTCATTGTTTCATTTTTTGGTGGGCTATTACGCTTGCTGCTAGAAATGGTGATGGAATCCAAGCTTTCATTGTTTGGTTGTGCTAAGGAATTCTTATCAGGAGATATAGAGATGCAAGTATGGAGATGGTCTCTAACCAAAACTTGGAGGTTCTTCTGAAAAGTAGCGACTCTGGAGGAATTGGTGTTGCTTGTTTCCCTATTGCATCGATTGGGACGATTCCTATCCCGAAGAACATAGCCAAATGGAGAAGATGATGCAACCATCTCAACCTGGGACGACGCCATCCGAACTCTCTCTCTTTTGTCCCTTGTGTAATTTTTTCTTCATATCAAGGAACTTGAAAAAAGGAGTTACAAGAATCATTCACTACTAGCATGAATCATTTGGAAACCAAAATTTTCGAGGGTGGGGAAGATTTTTGAGAAACTCAATCAACATCACAAAATCTGAAACAATACAACCCACCCTCTATTTTAGAAACAAAATCCTAACCAATGAGCAAAAGCGAAACAAAGCCGCACGAATTTCTGTCGAAGGAAAAACAAAATCAGGTTTTATTTAGACTAGCACAATCTGCTATCCCCATATTTCCTATTCTTGTGAGGCAAATTAAACCCAAAGAGAGGTATGAAACAAAAATAGGGGAACAAACATAGTGACAACATATTGGAACAAACTAAAACAAATTATAAAGAAGGTGAAAAAGGCGGGAGGTTTTGGAGTTTGTGATTTGTGAATGAATTCAATGGAATGGAGAAGAGAGTTTACCAACCAAAGAATTTGACTACTAGAATATGTTCATGAGCATTCATGGTTCTACAAGTCGTTTTTCTTGTCCGTGCAGGTTCGTTAATTCTTTAATAATTTTCATATAAATTTGAATTTCATAGTTATGGAGTAAATTTTATGCATATAAGATATAACAAGTTTTTTCCTCAATACTTGATTATATTGGTTTTTTAATTGTCGAAACTACACGATTGATTGAATGAGTTTGTTTAAAATTCATTTTTATAGCTACGTGATAAATCATGATAATGCTAAAAACATAGTGTTAAAAACATGTTATGAATAGAATAAACAAGGCAACTTTTTTTTTGGTGGTAGAATGATTGATCTTGCCTTATTTGATATGTTATAGTTTGGATAATTTAGACCGACTATAAACATTGCATAACTTGAAATATATGTTTTTATAATGTATAACAAACTGTTTCCTCAATATTTGATTATACTGGATTGATTAATTGTTGAAACTACACGATCGATTGAATGAGTTTTGTTAAAATTCATTTTTATGGCTACCAGATAAATCATGATTATGTTAAAAACATAGATATTAAACACATGTTATGAATAGACTAAACGGGATTTTACCAAAAAAAAAAAAAAAAAGACTAAACGGGACTACTTTTTTCCTTTTGGTGCCAGAATGATTGATCTTCTTTTATTTGATATGTTATAATTCAGATAATTTATACTTACTATAAACATTGCATTACTTGAACTATATATCTTTGTGGATTTCTTCTCTACTTTGTTAATTTTAACATGAAGAGAATTTACATTAATTTATAACTTGCTCAAATTTAATTCAGGCATGCGAGTGTGAATTTTGAAATAGATATAGTTAGTTATGACTTATGAGATTAGTTGCGAATCCTCTAACAGATTAACACCATTCTAACTACTATAAGAACCATTATATTGAAATAATAATACACAACCTGAATTTATTTAAAAAATAATTTAATAATATTGCTCCAAACTAGGGATGGCAATGGGGCGGGTTTGGGGCGGGTTTGCCTAAACCATCCCCATCCCCATCTTCAAATACCCAAACCCATACCCGCCCCATACCCATGCGGGGAATGTTTTGCAAACCCATCCCCATACCCGTGGGTTTCGGGTACCCATGGGTAGTACCCATCCCCGTACATCCAACATTATTATACCTAAAACTTACAAGAAAAGTTTTAATTATAACCATAAACAAACCTATTATATCACGAAGTCAACAAAACACGGTCATTTTCTAAATACGATTCAAAGAATATGATCCTAAAACATCCATTAATACATAATATAGACTATAATATTTTTTAAATTATTATGCTCTAACTCTTGATACATTTACTAAGTAATAATTAACTAACATAATTTTGTTGACAAGGGGAAAAGTGAAAGAGTGGAAGGAGAATTGAGGGAAATGAATTAGGTTTTGATTAAGGTGGTTACTCAATTGCATTTCTACTATTTATTTTCTCGAGTTATCATCATCATCATTGATAGATTACAATTTAATCCACGTATTTTTTTATATGTGAAGAAATTCTCTTGGTGGGGCGGGTATGGGTATGGGTATGGGGCGGGGGAGGCTAAAACCATACCCGCCCCATACCCATCAAACCTTTTGCGGGTTTTACCCATACCCGCCCCATACCCGGTCAAAGCGGGGATTCCCCGCGTTGACTGGGTATGGGGCGGTCGGGTACCCGCGGCCATGGGTTTGATTGCCATCCCTACTCCAAACCCTATGTCCAACCACCTCTCCCCAATTCCCACTGACTGTTAGGGGTGTTCAAATGGTGTGGTTACCATGATAACCGTTTTAATCGATAGTATTTGGCTAATTTGGATAATTGGTTTGGTTTAGTTAAAATTATTAGCTTGTTTGGTTTAATTGGTTTTGTTTCAGACACTCCTAACCAATCAAACCAAATTAACCAGTTAAGTAATTATTCATATATCTAATATAAATTATATACACATTTTTAATAATTGGCATAACCACTCAAGAGCCAAAATTTCTTTCTTTTAGGCTCATCAACAATATAGTTCAATATTGTTCCTATATTGTATATTTGTATTTGTAGAGGGTAGACTATGATATATGAACGCTCAATTTAGATAAAACTCATACAATATATTAGATGAAAACTTGAAAGGAAGGTCTTTTTCAACCTATGATAATTGCTAGGAGACTACTTCAATTCACACAATCACCACAATTAATTAGCTCCATACTATTGACATATATTTTTGTTAGCGGTTAATTGCAAGGTTGGTCACTGGAATTACAAAAAAACGTTCATGTTTAGTCACTGCAAATATATAATTCTATTCGTGATCACTATAATTAATCAAACAATCCAAGTTTGGTCACTCTTACCTTCCGTTAGTCTCCCTTAACGCCGTTAGATTTTTGCTTATGTGGCTAACGGAAATGTCTAGTCACCCAATTTTAACATATAAAAAAAAAAAACCAACCTCCACGTCAGTAAGCAGCCACATCAGATAACCGAACAAGCCCAACCCCACTATTGACCTAACTCAAAACTCGGCATAATTTTTACCAACAGACCCATCCCTGCAGGATGCAGCCTAGTTATTCTGCTAACTGCATAAGTTGTTAGTATATACTAACTAATATTCAAAATGTATGAACTAGTATCCAAGTCTTCTGATTTTACTAGAGTATCTAGATAATACAGATTAGTATTTAAAACATCACAAACTAGTATCCAGATAGCATATACCAACTAATATCCATAATCATCCAACTAGTATTCAATACGGATACTCTTATGTGTTATCTGGATACTTTTATGTGTTATCTGGATATTAATTATGTGCTGTATGGATACTATTCTGTGTTGTCTAGATATTAGTTTGTGAATTTGGGATAATAGTTGATTCATGGTGGATATCAGTTAGCAAACCTTGAATACTAGTTTGTGCTCTCTAGATACTTTAGTACTGGGATACTAGTTCATATATTTTAGATATCAGTTAGTATCTGCTAACGAATTTTCAAGTTAGCATATTAACTTTTCCCGCAGGATGGAAGCTAGCTCTGGTTCGTCTTCTTCATCATCTTGCAAGGAGGGTTCTTGTGGCGACCTCCAATCTGCCATTGTTGTTGATTGCTAGCGAGTAGAATGAAAGCGATGAGTGAAGCCTTGAAAAGAGACTACCAAATCTGCGAGGATATCGATCGGGGACGCTTTGGCGTCGTCTTCAAGTGCATCTCCTTCATCGCAGGCTCCCACTGCAATTAACCCACACCCTCACTCTCGACCGACCCTAAGCTCCCGCGCCTCGTCTCCCCAAATCCTCACCTCGTCCAGCTCCACGCCGACTACGAAGACGATTCCCATCTCCACATGGTCACCAAAATCTGCTCCAAATCCGACTTCCACGCTCTAATCCTCGTCAGCGGCGCTTTTGCGAAGCACGAAGTCAGATCCATTTTCGCCAAACTCATGGCCGCCGTCTCCTACTGTAATTAACCTTCCTCCCCTTCCTAGAACAGAGCAACCACAGTCCCTCCATCCCCTTTCTCCTCGTGCAAAATTCAATTTTTGAATCACCACGGAGGTAGAGGAAACAACAACGCAACTCTCGCTCCGCCATCCCTTGTTACCTCCGCGGGTTGTAGCTCCTTCCGTCGATTTCATTCAGCGACACCAGAAGGTGGAGAAGAAAAAAAGGGAGTGGGTCGGTGGGACAGAGGTCGTTCAAGGCAAGGAAGAAGAAGAAGCCACCGTTGGAGAGGTAGCGTCGCGTGGAAATCTGATTTGCGATTTGGGAATCTGCTGAATTGGAGGTGTAGAATCGAGAATCTGCCGTCTTTGGGCTGGCGTGGAGATATGATTTGGGAGGTAGGGATTTTTTCCAGTTGGGTCAATTAGAGGAAGAAGAGGAAGGGTCGGGTCAAGGGTTGGGTTGGGTAACTTATGTTTGATTAACTAAAATGACGTGGCAGTTGGATTTTTGTTTTCTTCTTCTTTAAAATTAGCTTATTAGGCACTTCTGTTAGCCACGTCAGCAAAAAACTGACGGCATTAACGGGAAACTAACAGAAGGTAACGTAGAGTGACCAAACTTGGACGGTTTGATTAATTATAGTGACCATGAATGGAATTAAATATTTGCAGTTACTAAACATGAAAGTTTTTTATAATCCTAGTGACCAACCTTGCAATTAACCCTTTTGTTAGATGAATATTTCTATTGACTGTAAAATAATTATATTAGTTGCGTGGATTTCTGTACGGGTTAACTATAACTATGTGTTCATTTCTATGTTTTATTCATCATATAAATTGTGAATTGATGCATTAACCAAAAAATTTCTCACTTGATGATAATGTGATGTTATATTGGTTAATCTGGTTAAGCAATAAACCAAACCGAATAAATTTTAGTTTGGTTAATTTGGCTATTATATTAGTTTGATGGTTTGGTCATGATATTGTATTCCATAATTAATAAAGTTTTGACTTGTTTAATTTGATAATTACCATGGTAAACATTTGGACACCCCACTTCTCCTCTCTCCCCTATTACCAGAATTTCTCTATACTACAAAGGAACCTTTCCACTCACTACTTAGAACACACTACTACCTAACTTAATTAGTAGCAGTTTTGGTGGTTTATAGTAATGATTTTATAATGGTATGTAGTGATTTTAATGTAAACATGAGTCTTTAGCAATTTTTAATTAGAAGTAAATTATTTTAAGTAGTGATTTTATTGTCATTACTAGAGATTTAGTGATTTGTAGTGAGTAATGATTGCTGATTTTTGTAAGAATCGCTAATGACAATGAAAAAAAAATACTCCAAATAAACAAATAGTCCAACTACACAAGAACTACTGAAATAATGAAATATCAATGCTGGTTATAAGAATGATGAATCACTACTAAATAAACTAGCTTTATACCCGCCCGTTAGACGGTGTGTTTTGCTTGATTATTCTTTGTTCTTGTAATCTTATTAATTTATAATTCATGTAAATAATAATAGGCATGGAATTGTTAATCTTAATTACCTTATTTCAATTATTGTTTCACATGTTTTTATCTATCGTTTATTTATTAAAAAGGTTAATTTTTCTAAATTAACTATTTGTAGACCTTTTGTTTATTGATTTATAATTTGGTATCGAAACTGCTGCATAAGACATACGTATTGGATGTCAGAATTATAAAAATAAAAATAATTATATCACATGTTGATTCCTTATCGGACTCATAGAGAATATTACAATCTTTTTTTTTTTATATCATGCAACATTAGTTGTGTTTACACTTTTGGAAGAGAGATGAACCACATTTTCGTCCACATCGTCTATCTTCAGCTTACTCATTTAATTTACCTTGAAAATATTTAACAAAACCAACAACAAAACTAACTATCAATTGCAAAAAAAAAAACATAGAACAATATATTCAGCAAACTTAACCGCTTATACACACAATTTATATTTATTAGAGAGCTACAAATTCCTTGCTCTGCATACTGATGCTTTTTTATCTAATATTCGCAGAGATAAATCATGGAAGTCGTGAACTTCAATACAACCCAGATCATTCTATCTTGCATAGTCCCCATTCATGAACCGGGTTTGATGCATCAATCAACTTCAAACAATAGTAGATAAGAAAATAGTTAGGCCAAAATCAACACTAAGAGCATCTCCATTGGAATTGCATTTAAAATTGCATTATGACATGACATTCATTTGCAATTGCATTATGCAATTGCATTGATGTAGATGACAATTGCACTTTTGCAAGCTTGCATATAATGCAATTATGGAATGCAAGTAAAATAAACAATTGTCATTGGAAATGTGTAGAAATTTAAAGAACATCGACACAGACAACCTAAAGATCACCACCACCATTTTTTCTTCATCACCTTTAAAAATCCCACATATATTTCCTTTTATTTTTCACCCCACTGTTACATACTACTCACTTATCGTATCATCATTATATGGCTAGGTAGTAGCATGTTGCTCTTGAACATAACAAACATAAACAAACATCCTCTGATGGAGTTTGGCAAGATGACAACCCTTGTAACTCTGTTTTCCATTTAGCATCCAAGGAATCATGTTGCGATAGGCCTCCAAGGAAAAGGATCAATTGTTCAACCCAAAGAGAGATTCTCTAAGTCCCATAAATTAACCCTTCCAAATATCTATTATCTACTTTTATAAAAGTATAAGGCAAGAGAGAGAATCATATAAATATACTTGGAAATCACAAAGGGATGGTAGAGGTGGTAAAGGCGCAGGATTGTGTCTAGGAGGTCCTTGATCGATCCTTGGCAGTCACCTCTTTTGCGTTACCCCTTGGTGGCCACCGCCAAGGCTGTAAGCTCGTATTAAACTTTTTCCGAGTTTTCGGGTATCTATTGGGGTTGAGGTTTGCTGTCGCAAGATGGATTTCTCCTCGTATAAAATAAACTACTTGGAAAATGAAGAAGAAATACATTTGCAAAATCTAGTGGAAAACTTACGACCCCACCTTCATAATTTGGAAGAAATTAAGAAAAGAATGGGAAGAGATACATGATGGGCAGAAGAGTAGAACTTAGTCAGTTAATCGTAGGCAACCACATATTGTTGGGGAAGAGAGATCGATCATCAGTTGTGCATCAAGGGGAAAAGGGAATAGTCGACAATGCTTTGTGTTCACAAATATATGATGAATTTTCCCCCGTCAACAACTCAAAAATATGTTACAACTACTCAATCATTTTCCAACTAACCATTGCTTCATGTAACTCGCTCTCTATTATCCACAAACAAACAAAAACCACATATGTAGTATTATTTCCTTCCTTTATCATTGTGTAAAAAGTAAAGAAGATAAATATTAGAAATCTAAAAAATAATTTAGTAAATAAGAAAAGAGTTTTGTTTGTGTTTACGGAACTTGATCCTTTTTTTTTTTTTGCCTTTTCAATGTTGGATTTCTTCTGAGAGAGAAGCTTTCAACAAAGAGATAGAAGAAAACCAAAGATTGCATTGGTTGGAACTTTAACATTGTTATTAACTCAATTTATGTTTTATTTCTAATAATGATGCATTAAAGTGCAAGAAAAATATATTGCAATTATTATTAGAGGTTATCCACATTAGATGAATGAGAGCTAGCCATGTGCTTATGAGGCACTAATTTAATTTTGAATTCCTATAATATTAAGTAAGGATAAGGATGCTAAACAAGACGAATCTTTCGAAGTCTTTCTTTCCTTCATTTCGTTTTGTACATATGTTTCTCTTCTCCTGTCCCAAATGACCAAATATAAAGAATGAATTCTTTTGACTACGCACATCCAGCACTCGTTTGGGGTGAAAGCTTGACCAGAAAGACCCACTGACCCGTCTCGACCCGTTCCGTTCCTAAGAGTCGGGACGGGTCAATTTGTCTACAAGGTCAGAATAGAGACGGGTTATTTGTTGACCTTATAAGGGTCGGGACAACTTAGAGACGGGTCACTTTTTGATCCTGTGACCCTTAGAAACTTGTTAATATAAAAAAAATTTGGGTACCAAAACGTAATTTTACCATCAAAATTTATGGACTTATTTGTAAAAAAAATAAATTTCAGGTACTAAATTGTAATAACAAAATTTTAGGTACCAAAATGTAATTTGTAAAAAAGTAGTGTGTTGATTAGGGTCGACCTACTGACCCGGCCCGTCTCAACCCTTGAGGGTCAGACAGGGTCAAGAAGGAGACAGGGAAGGGACGGGTCAGTTATATATCTTGACCCTTCAGGGACGGGTCAGACAGGGTTAGAGACGTGTCAAGGACGGGACATGAAAATTTTCAGCCCTAACGCTCGTTGCGCCATCTAGTCCTGCAATCCACTGCTAATTGGAGTCTACAACTACACAAGGTTGCCTTCTCCTCCTTGACAAAATCGAAGCCCCAAATCCTTCCTGTGAAACGCACATATACGATATACCTGTGTGTAGGGCTGCAAATGAGCCGAGCTGAACCGAGTTTTACCCTAGTTTGAGCTTGACTCGTTAACAAATGAGCTGAGCTCGAGCCATTTATTAACGAGCCGAGTCGAGTTCGAGTTAGGCATGTTTACTAAATTCTTAGATCGTATTTGATACATTCATTTTGTATGTCGTGTATGGTACATGTGATTGATGTAACGATTAAAAAATAATCAAACGTTGAACATTAATTAATCTTATATTATAATTTGTAGGTGTCATATTGTTTAGTTAATAAATTTTAACTAGTTCATATTGTTTAGTTAATAAATTTTAACTAGTTCATATTGTTTAGTTAATAAATTTTAACTAGTTCAAATCATGTTATTTCATAGTATCGAAATAATTTTGTACATAATTTTTTATAGAATTAAAAATAAGGCATATTTTCTTACATGTTCAACATGTTAAACTTCACATAATGTGAGATATATAATTTAACAATCCTATGAATTATGAAAGTCCAAATTAGATCGATTTGTCCATAAGTCGGTGATCAAGTTGGCCCTCAAACCACAATGTTGAGACATCCCATGAGCTCTAAATGAGCCAACTCACAAGTTGAGCTCAACAAGCCACCGAGTCGAGCTAGCTAGCGAGCTTCGCGAGCTGAACAAGGCTAAGCTCAAGCTTGGCTTGTTAGTAAACGAGTCGAGTTTCGAACGAGTTTTTCCCGATTCGAGCCTCGAGTTGCTCGACTCATTTGCAGCCCTACCTGTGTGAAGACCAAAAAAAACAAAAGAAAGGTGCAATTAGTGGGTAGATGCATTTGGCTACTTAACATAATCTTGTGGGTTGATGCATCTAGTTGATTGATTAGGTTTCATAATCGATATAACTTTTGCCCTAAATTTAGAGGTGTTTTTTTGTAAGTTTTTGAAAAATGAAGGATTTATGTAAAATCCTGGATTTTAGGGATGAAGAATTATGTGAGATTTTGTCATTTTGGATTTGTGTTGGATTTTAACAAGTGCCTGTTTGTTGTTGGATTTCATATTGGATTTGTGTCTATGAGATTTATTATTTATAGGTTGAATTATATTTGTATACTTAATGATTTGTGTACTTGATATTCAATATAAGAAATATTGAAAAGACATGAGGATAGACCCGTCATTACCATCATGGATTATAGCCTCTCACAAAATCCCAACTAAATATGTTAGATTTTATAATCCGTGAATTCCATGAATTTTGACCTCATAATAATCCTACACACACCATAATCCAACTTCACTTTAACACCATGGGTTTTGTGCAGTTGAGCAAGTATGAAATCACATTGAGCAAAATTGCTATAGCAAGTCAGGCCCGCTACCACCTACTGATACCGTTTTCTCATGATAAAATTGGGCTTTTTTAATACTATAAACTTGGGCTTTGACTTCAGAATCAAAAGGGAAGCCCACATCATTAAACGACTGACGTTAGTGGCGTGGCAAGATCAACGGGGGCTTTTGTTTTTTATGAGCAGTTGAGCACCGATGCCAAGAAGAAAATGTAAAAGGAACAACTGAACAACAACAGCGAGTTCTGTCGACAGACTGAAAGCGAGAAGCGGAAGAAGACGATGGCGTGGAGCGCGACGATGATCGGAGCCCTTCTGGGAGTGGGCACCCAGATGTACTCCAATGCTCTGAGAAAGCTACCCTATATGCGCCGTATGTATTGTCTCGTCTGTTATTTTTTGAGATTTTGGGCGTCTAGGTTTTCATTTCTCCCCCCTGCTTGCGAGCGATTGAATTCGGGTAACGCTTTGCTGATCGTTGTAGATCCGTGGGAGCATGTCGTCGGAATGGGATTGGGGGTGGTGTTCGTGAACCAGCTTGTGAAATGGGACGAAAAGCTTCAGCAGGACCTTGACAAGATGCTTGAGAAGGCTAAAGCTGCCAACGAGCGCCGCTACCTGGGTACGATTTCTCTGTTTTTTTGTCCACGCATCTCTATTCCAAGCAATCCTTTCTCGACATTTTTTTTCTCTATTGCACCCCACTTTTGGAAAGTCATTCCCTTAAACGAGGAATTAGTTTCTCGATCAGATACCCTCTTGATTTGATGTGAGTCATTCGTTGAATGTGTTTGTCCTTTTTTCTGTTCGGTTTCTAGTTAGAGGTTTTAATGCGTAGATTAATATTTGGCTTGTGAATGACTTGAGAGCAAGATCGTGTATTTTGTTCTTTGTGAGAGGAGGAGAAACCATGATTTCTAGTGGCATGTATGGAGGTAAGACAACGAAGAACAGAAATGTATTGTATAATTCAGACCAACTTAACGCACTATCAGTTCAAAGGATGACCATTAGTCCATTTGTTCATAATTTTCCACATGATTGTAGCATTCCGATACTCTGGTTGCTTCTCTTGTTTTCCTTGACTATTCCTTTCATGGATTTAGATCGTAGTGTATGCATTTTAATCTGTAGTTGTCATTTTTGCTTCTGATTTACTGAGACATTTTGTTGGTAGGAAGGTCTTCACGGTTAATGGAATTGCTGTTGATGTTGGCTAGAGTACATTTCACAAAATTAGCCAGTAACGGAAATCATGTGTCTATTTTTTACTCTTCAGAAGTTATAGTTAAGATTAGTGTGAGGGGAATTAATAGATGATTGACAAGTTATTAAGTGATGGTGTTTTTTTTTTTGTATAGATTTTGAATGTTAAATTTTGTTCCAAGATGCCCTTTGTGTTCCGCAGTTTTTGGGAGACATTTGATCGTAGGAAGTTTCTGGTTTATCCCCTTTATTTTTACTTACTAATGGAATCGATGAGCTCTAAAGAGTACATATCACTAGCTTAGCCGATACATGAAATCATTAATCTGTTATGACTAGTAAAACTTTGCTTCATATTCCCAGACCCATAATGGAGAAGTAGTGGCGTGACGTGTTTTTTTATAGATGTTTTAATGGATCCATCCATTGAAACCAGAGTACCAGATAGACGATGTTCGCTCCCTTTCATTCCTACTCCTAGGTTCTCTGCATGTTTATTCATGCCTCTATTGATGGTGTCTTTTACTCGCTGTTAGAAATTACTTTTACTTGCTTCTCTAGTTTAACATTCTCTATTGCCCATTTTTCTTAGTATACATCTTATATAAGCTTACAAGAACCTTTATTCTTGCAGAGGGAGATGACGATTAGTGTTTTTGGCTTTGATGCGCGGGAGAATCGTTCCAGCAGTGTTTGCATTTTCCTAAAAATCTGGGCTTGAACCGATGTCCCGGCATTGCTGTGTGATCTTTGATATGGTTTTTCCTTGCTCTGCTTTTGTAGTTTTAACTTTTAAGATTGTTCAGCAGTTTTACTGATGTTTTCCTCAAGCACAGACTCGTGAATTTCGCATTTTTCGGTGAATAATGAGAGGCAACTATTGATATCTGCAAAGCTATATCAGACTCATTTTCATTCCTTTCCTCTGCTGCTGTAGTTTTAAGGCTGTTCAGCAATCAGCAGTATGATTCAGTCTGATTGTTCAATTGCATGCTGCATTTCATGTAATAACAAAATCCATTGAGTGATATGTTGTATCTGTGTGATGATTGTAGCTTGTAAAACTACTTGGGAAGATTTTGTTGATCTCTGCAAAATATCCAATGTCGAATTTCACTAACGATGTGGCACAATCACAATCAGATGCTGTCTCGTACTCGACGATATGAATACTAGTACAATTGGCAATTTTATTTTCAACATAGCATTAATTCACTTTAACTGGATGGAACAACCCCTCTTCCATGGTCTAGCCATCAGTGTTCTTCTCCAAATCTACCATTCGGTTCCTCACCAGATGATTCAGCTGGTCGCATGCTTGTCTGGACGATGGCCGCCCTTGCGGAAGAGTTCTCGTGCACTGCAATGCAATCTCCAGCACCTGGTATGCTGCACTCTCTTCCCCTGGCAACAGTGGCTTCAACGAAGGATCAATCAATTCCTCACGACTAATTCCTCCCATTTCCATATTTTTCTCCACCCACCTCACCATGTCCATATCCACACCAAAACTTGAATCTGTTGGTGCTCTGCCGCTCACAAGCTCGATCAGCACGATCCCCATGCTGTACACATCGCTCTTCTCCGTCGCCTTCAACGAGTAAGCATACTCTGTAAAAACCACCCATCAAAAGGCTCATCAGAATCATACACTCAATTGGAAAAAAACCCAGAAATTAGGAAAGAGTGAAGAGAGAAGGGTTAAACTACCTGGGGCAATATAGCCATAAGATCCAGCAAACAATGAATTCGATTCAGTGGTACTGGTGGTGTCGTAGAACTCCACCACGGATTTGGCAAGTCCAAAATCACCGAGATGTGCTTCCATGTCGGAATCAAGAAGCACATTGCTGGATTTGATGTCTCGATGGAGGATCATCGGCACACAGTCATGGTGAAGGTATTCCACACCCCTTACCAATCCCAAAGCTATCTGCATTCTAACTTCCCAGTCAAGGCACTGCTTCCTCTTGTTATTCACACCAGGCTGCCTATGCAGCCAGTCCCACAAGCTCCCATTCTCCATGTAATCATATATCAACAGATTAAAGCCAGCTCCCCTGTTGCAGCAGTATCCCATCAGCTTCACCAGATGTCTGTGCCGAATCCTCCCGAGAGTCTTCACTTCCCTGGCAAAGCTCTTGTTGAACATCAGCTCATCTTTCCATGGCACCTTCTTAACCGCCACAGTGTCTCCATTTCGGAGCTCGGCTCTGTAAATGGTTCCAGAGCCTCCCGACCCGATCACAAACTCGTCCCCGAGATGGTTGGTGGCTTCCATGATGTCATCCCACCTGAACTCCCTCTTCATACTACCAGGATTCAAGAACAGCGGCCTCCGGTGAGCGTGGGAAGATTTCGAAGAGGAGTAAATGCAGCTGACATCACTCCTAGCTCGCAGATATTCCCTTCTTCGCTTACAGAAGAAGGTGAGTCCTAGTCCCAGCAGCGCAAGCGCAGCAAGTGTCGTTATCGCAGATAGCACAACGATCGCTGCCTCGCTTAGACTCGAATGCTTATTAGCTGACCGGCGGCACTGATCAAGAGGGCCTCCGCATAGCTTGGAGTTGCCTAGAAATGAATCAGCCTTCCAGCGCTGAAACCGGTCGCCCAAATCACCTTCCAGGCGATTGAAGGACACGTTGAAGTATCCAAGACTCCTTATCTCGCCGACTTGGGGAGGCACTCTGCCTTGGAGCTGGTTGTGGGATAGATCAAGAGCTTCGAGGGTCGACAATTTCCCGATGGAAGGTGGGATCGAGCCGGTTAAGTTGTTGTAGCTCAAGTCCAGAATGATCTGAAGCTGCTGCAGCCGTCCAAGCTCGGCGGGGATTTCCCCACTGAAGCTGTTGTGCGACATCCGAAGCTCAAGTTGCTTGCTCAAGTTGCCAAGCGCAGGAGGGATTTGTCCTGAGAACTGATTGTGGTCAAGTCTGAGGAAGTTGAGTACTTCCAGGTTGCCAATTTCGGAAGGAAGAGTCCCGTTCAGGGAGTTGCCGTCCAGGTAAAGAAGCATCAAGTTGGAGCACTTGAAAAGCTCGGGAGGCAGAGGTCCTGAAAATTGATTCCTCGAGAGCTTCAGCTCCCCTAGCAGTGGCAACGTTCCGAGCCAGGCTGGAATGGAACCGGCTAGACGGTTGTCGTTCAGGTCGATGTGGGTCAGGTTCTTGCACAGCGCGAGTTGTGCTGGCAATACTCCTGTGAGTGAGTTGCCTGAGATGTCTAACAAAGAGAGAGCACGAATTTTCCCCAATGTCCGAGGGAGTTCCCCGGTGAACCGGTTGTTACCAAGCCTCAGCCTTTCGAGACTCCGCGAGTTCCCCAATTGGGGAGGGACCTCGCCGGAGAAGGAATTGTCTGTGACGTCGAACGAGAGGAAAGAACTCGAGCTACACAGCGGGGAAATGCTGCCGTTAAATTTGTTGGTGGACAGGTTGATCCTGGTCAGGTTTCTCAAATTGGAGAGGGAATCAGGCAGAGGACCTTGGAGGGAATTGTTGTAAAGCATGAGCTGCTCTAGATAACGGAGGGATCCGAAGGTTTCAGGAATTCCACCTGATAAGAAGTTATCTGCCAAATCCAGAGTGGTGAGCTGTGTACAGTTGCCCAATTCGACGGGGATTTCGCCGACGAGTTCGTTCTGCCTCCAGTGAAGGAAACTCAGCCGTTGTAGCCTGCCGATTGTGGCGGGGATCTTCCCTGAGAAATGGTTCCCGAAGAAATCAGCCGCTTGCAAGCTCGAACAGTTGCCGATCTCCTCAGGAACCTCCCCAGAGAACTGATTGTCGTAGATGTAGAGCAGTTCGAGCGAGCCCAGCGTTCCAATTTCTCTAGGCAGCTCGCCGTGGAAATTGTTGTGGTAGATCGCGATCTCCTGCAAGTTGCTGAGGTTTGCGATGGAGGGTGAAATCAAACCTTCAAGGGAGTTGTTGTAGAGGTAGAGATTCGTCAGCTGAACCATCTCGTAAATCTCGCTCGGAATCGTGCCGGTGAGCGAGTTGAATGACAGATCAAGCTGCTGCAAGGCTCGACAGTTTACCAGCTCGGCCGGAATCGTCCCAGTCAATTGGAGCTTATTCAGTATCAGGGAGTTGAGATTGGTCGCATTCGAGCATATGCCCTTTGGGACGACGCCGGTCAAGTTGTTGCCCGTCAAAGCCAGAACACCAAGCTGAACCATCTCGCCGAATTCTTCGGGTATCTCTCCGGTGAGCTTGTTTTCCGACAAATCGAGATTGTAGAGGCTACCCAGTTTTGTCAACTCCCTCGGGATTGGACCGTGGAGCTGGTTCCCCATGAAATTGATGTAGGAGAGTTGGGTCATGTCTCCGATTTGTCTCGGTATCTCGCCGGTGAGGCTGTTGTTGAGAAGGTTGAGGTACTGGAGATTCTGCAAACGGCCCAATTCCGGCGGGATGGTTCCGTTCAGCTTGTTGTTGGATAGAGCGAGTACTGTGAGGCTAGAACAATTACCCAACTCGGGTGGAATCGGTCCGTAGAGCTGATTGTCCTGCAGAACCAACTGGTCAAGTTTGCCGAGCCGGCCGAGTTGGGGCGGGATCGGACCGGTAAGAGTGCAGGAAGCCAGACCCAGCGTGACCAAGTTGGGGAGATTTCCCAATGAGGCAGGGATTTCGCCGGCAAGCCAGTTGTTGCCGATTTTGACGACCCGGAGGGTTTTGATCGAACCGAGCTGGGCCGGGATCCGACCCGTGAGGTCGTTGGTGAACAAAAGCAGAGATTCCAATACGGAGAGGTTGGCGAGAGTGGTTGGGATGGGACCCGTGAGGGCGTTGGAGGAGAGATCGAGGTGGAGCAGGTTCTGCAAGCGGCCAAGCGCGGGCGGGATTGACCCGGTCAGCGACGAGTCGGATAGGTTTAGACCCGAAACCACCCGGCCCGACCGGCAAGTGACCCCGCTCCATTTGCAGAAATTCGGGTTGCTCCGGTTCCAATCGCTCAGGCTTTCCCCGCCTGCGATCAGTGATTCCTTCACTTCCAGGAGAATCCCCAGCTCGTGACTTCGCGGGAAGACGGAGCTAAATGAACAGCACAGCAGAAGGAACAGAAGGACGAACTGCTGAAGAAGAGGAAGAAGTTCCATCTCGTTGGTTCTGCTCTCTCTCACTCTCTGTTTTTGCTTGGAAACTACAGAGTACGTTGAGAAAGAGAGAATGAGGATGGGGTTATGCAAGAACTGGTTTTATGGTGGACATCAAGGTTTCGTTTTGGTGGGTAGAGGCATTGGGAGGGGAGAAGGGGCATTGGTTGGGGGAAGGAGGCGGCAGCAGCAGAATCCATGTGAAGGTGGAATTAGGGAGCTCTGCCTCTGTCTCTGCAGCAGCTTCTGATACCACAGTGCCCTTTAAATGGGGTGCTACTCGCTAGGATAGAGAGAAAAGAGAGGAAGAAAGGAGAGTGAAAGAGACAGATAATTGTTTTCTAATGGAAAGGAGATGAATTTCAGAAGGGTGGATTGACTATGGAGGGAAGATATCAATGGGAGTTCACACCAACTTGTGAGACAGGGACATGGCCATAAATGAGCAAAGCTTTGGGATTCTGCAGCTGGGACTGTGCTATTGGGAAGCAGGGGAGGTGGCATGGGCAGTGTTTTAAATGATGGAAGGAATTGGATTGGTTCGATTTGAGGGAGAAGCAGGTCAAACTTGGGTCAGAGGCAGAGGATTATTAATTGGGACACAAGTCAAAGGGTAGAGAGAGAGAGAGAGAGCAGGACATTCAATATTGAGAGAGAAGAGAAGAAAGGAAGGAAGGGGAAAGGGGAAGAAGAGTGGTTAGAAAGAGGCAAAGGGCAGGGGCTAGTTGTGGAATGGAGTGGGGGAGAAGGAGACAACTGTTCACTTGTTTGTGGGTTTGCTTGCATTAGTGAGTTAGCTCAGAATGGTTACATCTCTCTAATCACATCAACTAAAAATAAGTGTGAGCGGTTG